ATATTAGGGAAATTCAATCTCTGTCTGAATATAGCCTGTAGCAAAGTAATTTTTGGTCCCTAACTGCCATAATACTGAAAAATATGTGAATTTCTTCTAAGTCAAGGGTCAGTTTAGTTACTATCACACCTACAGCCATGGGCTTTCTGGATAGAGAATAAGCATCGGAGGAAGCAAACCCAGAGCAGTGCCTCCCTCTGTGTAATACTGTTCAAACTCTCCAGTGCTTCAAGATTTCCTCGGCCATAGGCTTTGCACTTAAGAGCCCTTTGTGAATTTTTCCTCTGTGGCTAAATCCACAGAAGAAATGTGGATTAATTAATTCCAACAAATAATGCATATATATGGAAAGAATGAAACCTTAGAGCTAAATATACCTCTGTAAATATATGCATTTTATGATAACTTTTAATATTCAGCTTTTGGGGTAGATGCAAAATGTCATACACATGCATATACATAGTCTAATATTTGACTGTATATACTGTATATGTGTATGTATTTGCATAGCACTCCTGTCTACTTCAGCACACATAGGCACACAGAGGTTTTATTTCTATGAGCACCCTTTTGTGAAATGAGAGCTAACTGAAGGTAGAGCAAAGATTAAATCCTTCACTTTGATCAAATTCTAAAAACAAAAAAAAACTTCTAAAATTATAAAGCATTAGTAATGTTGTTGAATTTGTAACTATTCCTGATATTATGTCATGTTCAGTGATACAGACACACGTCTGCATTCATCCACACATGTGCCTGGCATTACTCCTGTGACATCAGACCCATCACCAAGCCACTGTTTGCTGATTAGTTGTATTTCTTCATTTGCACTGTAGTAACTGCAGGCTTTACTAATTGCAGTTGCAAAGTATCTCAGGTGGGTTTTGATCTTTCACTGAACTTTGCCCTTCTTTAGCACACCTCCATGTGCTAAAAGCAGAATCCCAAGCTTCAGTGGTAAGTGTTCAAATGTTTCGATCACACATCTCAGCCCGTAGAACTGGTGGTTTGTAAGATGATGTACTGGCTGAAGATTGTATAGGCTGATGTATTGGCTAAATTGTCAGGATTTCTTTGTGTTGGTCCTGTTCTTGCTTCTCTAAGGCTCTCTTGTGTCTCTAAGGCTGCATCTAAGCACTAAGGCAAGTCTGCTTTTTTACCCACCCTACACCTCTGGTTTCCTCATCCACATTATAAAGTGATGAGATGAAGAACATTGCTGTTTCTTCTCTATCTACATGCTGAATTTCCTTTTACAAGGGACTGATTTGGGATGCACTGTGAAGTGTCTTATCCAGTGAGGTTTTGGTAGGATGTTCCCTTGTCAGTGTCAGCTGAGACTTGTGACTGTGTCCTGCAGTATTACAGGACATGTGTAGAGTGAGCATCTTCACCTTCCAGCATTTCCAAACTCTGTAACAGGAGTAGATCATTTGTTAAGATGGGAAAAATACTCCAACAGCAAAAGTAGAAGGTATCATAGAAAAGCAAGTTGTATAAGACCTCCAGGGTATTATATAGCAGGTCATCTCAAAGCTGAAATATTTGGTCAAACAATGTTTTGGAATTTCACAAAACAACTCATTGATGTGGTCTGAGGTACAGATGTGCCAGGATGAAGAGAGAGATGTTTTAACTCACAAAATCAGAGAAAATATGAAATTTTGTGAGGAGAATGATATAACCTTGTTTGTTGGTGGATGGTGTTACTGTAAATCACTTCTCTAGTGAATACAATTTTCCTCTTCACTTCTGTGGATGTTCTTAAAGATCACAGTTATAAATATCTCCTACCCTTAGCAGGACCATGATGTTTCCCTGCAAATTTGAGAGAAACTGTTTGAGAGGTGTGCAACAACTTCAGAAGCTTGGTAGTGGTTTTGATTATTTTTTAATAAATGTGTACTGTATTTCCCAGCTGGCTTTGGAGGGTTGTCCATATGGTGGTGTCCATAAGGGCTACATCACACACTGAAGATAGGAAAAAAAGGAAGGGTCATCTTTTATCACTGTCCCCTTGTGACTTTCTCATAGGCAGGAGCACAGCCTAACATAATTTCCTGGGGTTTATTTTTCTCTGAGAGTTACTTTCTTTAGATAATGCCTTTACACTATAACAGAGTATGACAATTTAATGCAGTTAGATAAGAGCTAACACTGGGATATGGTCTCTTGTGCAAAGTCAAGTTTTTCTCAGTTGCCCCAGTGTCTGAAAAATAAAGTTCTACATCCTGCTAAATATTGCAATTATTATGTATCTGTGGCATGCAGTAGTGAACACAAGAGGGAGGAACACAGTAAGGTTTTCATAAAACCCAGGAAATTAATTTCTTTGAGACTGGACTGGTAAAGCTGTGGGTAGTCTTAGACTTAACTGGCATATTTATTTTTTTTCAGTTTTGATGATTACTCTTCATAAGTTCTTGAAATACAGTTTAGTAACCTGAAAGAACCAGATTCATATCCATACCAATACATTATAATAATTCAATAAATATTAATATCAGGTAACTGAGACCTGATTTTATGTGTAGTTATTTTTGAGCAGTAGTGTTGTACAGTGTGCTCTGTCCCTGACATCAGGAATGTATGTGACAGTGAGCAGCCAGGATGCTGCAGTGAGGCCATCATGGGTGCCAGGTGGGACAGAGAACAGGAGAGGAAACTGAAAGCCTCATAATTGCACACACATAGGAACACTAATTTCTACACATTAATTGCACAGCCTGATGGAACTGCCCAGAATGGGCGTTGTATGCTGCCTTTAAAGCAAAAACAAGCAGTTGTGATGGTTCACAAGCAACGTACTTCACAATCAGGTCTGCAGAAGTGATGGTGATGGTCTGCTACCTGCCCCCTTTAGGATCAGCTGTTAAATCTGAGTGAGAAATCTTCTAAGATCTGCTACATTTAAAACACAGGCAGTTCTGTTGTAGAGACTTGCTGTGTGTTCATATATCTCTTTTGAAAGAAAATTCAGGTCTGAAGGCACTCTAACAATTATTGCAGTCAAAAAGGCTCTACATTAAACAAAGGGAAATAAAAAAATCCTTTGTGATAACAGTAGTTTTGTGAGGAGGAGCAGTAGTAGTAGCAGTAGTAGTTTCAGTTCTATCACTGAAAGGCAAGTACCATTCATTCTAAGACTTCATGATATTCAGTTTCAAGTGTTAGCTCTTGGTCTTCAAAAGGAATGTGAATTTCTCTGCCTGAAGAAAATGGTGAGGACAGAGACCTTCTATTACTTACAGCTAGAGATCTCTTTTTTTAAGAATAAAGTAGGTAGAGTTCACAATGGCACATTAGGAATGAAGGAAGTGGAAGATAATATAAAAATTATCATGTTCTGTGCTGTGATTAGGTTGTGCTCGATAAATATCCATAGTGGCCATGCAGATGATGAATAGGGATATTTCAAATTTGAAATCTTTATCAATTTATTTGGGCTGAACATCTTTCATAATTAGGAATTACTTGCCTGTGTCTTTCAGTTCTTTTAGACATGGGGGGATCTTGTGTGAATGACACCAATTTATCATCTGTGCTGTCATTTCTGTTTAAACTCATGCAGTGAGTAGATAGATGTCTCCCATATGGTGTAACAGTTTTGAACACTTACAACTGCTTGATGCAGGCAATACCAGTTTTGTTTTTTCAGCTTTCTGCCAGCACCACCTTCTTCCATGTAATTGTAATGATCCACTCTTAATTTCTGTGACCTCCCCTTGTGTGTCACTTCTGTGGTCTGATGTATCTTGTAACAAGTCAGAAATCCTGGAAGCAGAGTGCACTTCCCTTTGTTTATTTCATCCCATTACTTCAAGTAATATTTCTCCCCTTCTCAGCAAAATAGGTAAATGGATTCCTCCAAGAAGAAGGTGTTAGCATAGGAGGAGCTGGAGCTGTAGAAGCCTTCTGGGACTTGAAGTCTTGTAGATGTTGGCGATGGGGTTTTTTAAGAATTCAGTGTCATCATGGATTTAGATGTGTTTAGATGCTTGGCTGGCCTGATTAATTCAACAAGTAGAGTAGTTAATCCAGGAAGAATTTATTTTCTTGTTTCCCTTGGTAATCTTAAAGATCACAAATTCTTGAGAACAACTTGGCCCACTGGCATTGTCTCCAAAATCAGCTTTATATCTATGAAAAGTTGGTGTATCAAAAAACAAGCACATAATGCATTTTCTTATCCAAAGAAATGTTTTGTATGAGGGAAGACTCAAATCTGCCCTTTAAATCTCTAGTAAGAACAAAATAAAAAACTAAGCTATGTTCCTAGAAGGTATGCATCACTGTTCTTAAGGGAACTTTGGAAGTGTTTCCTTTTCTTTCTACGATATAAATCTAACAGTTTAATCATTCATGGAAGTTTAATCATTCGTGGAATAAAAAAGACATCTTGATCATCTTCATGTAAAAAGGTACTTTATTTTAAAAATGGAACAAATGGATGAAATTGTACAACAAAACCTTTAATACATTAGAATTATTATATATGGAAATCATTATGTATACAAGTAGTTATTACAGAAATAACCTTCTTCTTTGTCAAGTATTCTTGGTGTGGAAGTAATCAGCATACTACCTATCCCATTGTTTGAGAACTCTGAAATCTCTAATGAGGTTTTTTTACAGAAGAATTTCAGTCATATGCAAATGATTCATTGAAACTCTTAATCATATGACAAATAGTGATTCTTTAGTGAGTTTTTTTCATTCACTGTAATAAATGTAGCATGTTAACTGTAGACACACAGTTAACTGTTTCTCAGCTACTTTTCTCACAGCATTTTTTTTTAAAGATTCATTGCTGGTCAGAAAGTGATAATGGTTGGACTGAGAAATAAAATGCTTGACAGATGTCAAGAGATTTGTGTCTGGTATAGCTTCAAATAGATTTTTTCCCTTTGAGAGTTTTAAAAATTAATTTGTATTCAGGTTGATAAAGATATTTATTTTTCAATGGCTATTGGCAATCAAATTTCTTCCTTTTTTCACAGGTTTGATTACCACAACATCAAGAAAACTGGATCGGGAACAGCAAGCAGAACATTTTTTAGAGGTAAGTTTAAGTGGAAAATGCATGTTATGATGTTAGCTGATTTTTGTAGTTTAAAATCACTTCTTATTGTTCCAGGAGAGTGGTATTCTCCTATCTCTTCATTTATAAGAGACTCACACAAAGCTGGGAATTGCCTGATTATACAAAAGAAATAAAACATTTTGCAGTTCGCAAGCGCAGGAAAAAAATTGAACAAAAATTGAACACTTGTTTTCCACCTCTTATCTTCTTCAGTTAAGTCTTTTATTGTAGCTCTTAAATTCTATTTGTGACAGAAATTTCGAATATCCAGAGCAAAATATTTTCTTAAAAATACGTGGAATAACCCCAGACATGCCAAAACTTTTAGTCTCTCAGGTTAAACTGGTTTAAATTTTGCATCTTGGATCTAATGTGCAACCTGATAATTTGGATGAAAGCAGACTTTGAACTTTTTTACATTCACGGCACTGTTTTGGGTTTTTGGGGTTTTTTAGCTTTTGCTTATTGGGACTGTTAACAACAATTTTCAGATTAAAAATTGCCTTCTGAAAAGAGTATTTAAACCATTCCCTTGGCCCTTGTGATGAATGTTTCTCTTTATAAGGAGCTCACATGTTGGTAATGGAATGAGGTACTTGTAAACTACTGGTTTTGTCACATGTGTTTTCTTTCACACTGCTGTACACTATACTGTGGTTTTTTTTTTTTCCTTTGGATAAAAGGTCCTTGACTTGATTCTTTTGTCTATTTGTGAAGTAAGGAATTCTTGATTCCTCTTGGTACAAGTAAAAAAACCATATTGTCCCACATAGTCAATCACTCCTACTAGGAAATGCTCTTCAAATCCATACAAGCTACAAAACATCTGGACACAACAGTTCCCAGTGCAATCACTGTCTGACAGCAAAATGTAGTAAAATATATATTAACATAGTCATTAGGTTTTTTTATTTGCTAGAAATCCCAAATTATTTTGGTTAGTGCAGAACACAGGAGAGTAGGGTTGATTATTGCTATACAAGTTTGGGTTGGGGTTTTTTCTTGATAATTCACTGTAGATTCTTACACATTCCATGTCATAAATAAATTGAGGGAAATACAAGGATTTTTCCCTTTTTAGGATTTAAGCTCTAAAGTTAGTAAAATAATCATGTATTCCTATAACTTCAAGCTTTCCAGTTTATACTGTCAGAGAAGATCACAAATGGAATGAAAGGGGCATTGATTTTGAAATGTGTCTATTGATGAGAATCTTGGGTCTCTGAGTCTCCTTTGATCTGCAGAGAAGGACCAGGTAATCCTGGTGGACATCAGGTTAGCACAAAATGAACACAGGAGGTTCCATCTGAATATGAGGAAAAAGCCTCTTTTCTGTGAGGGTGACAGAGCACTAGAACAGTTTGGACAGAGAGGTTGTGGAGTCTTTCCCCCTGGAGATACTCAAAACCAGCCTGAGTGCGATCCTGCACAGCCAGCTGTAGATGAAGCTGCTTTAGCAGGGCTTGGACTAGATGAGCTCCACAGGTCCTTTCCAACATCATTCATTCTGTGATTCTGTGTTTGCCTCAGTGATCTCAGCGAAACTTACAGAAATTTCGCTGTAGTCATCAATATAAGTTAATCTGTTCTTTCCCGTGAATTGTATCTTGCTTGAAAAAATAACAATCTGCAAGATTTTGGGGGCTGGAGATGCAGTGGAGGGAAATTTGTGTCTTACACTGCTCCAAGGCTTGTGGATGGGGAGTGAAGTGGAGGGCAGGCTACGGAGAGGAGAAGCACGGGAGCAGGGTGTCCTGCAGAAGTGTGGATATGACCACACTGTAAAGCCCCCCTGGAAACAGTGGGTGTGAAAGGGAATTGGACTCTGGTGGAGACACAGCCCCGGTGGTCAAATTGCCCCGTTGAGCTGCTGCTGAAGCGTTGCCCGTCGCTGCCTCCTGGGAGGCGCGTTCCGGCTGCACATCCGCACATAGGCTGGGATCCAGAGCCAGGCTGGCCAAGCTGTGCTTGTTCTTGTGGCAAACTGAGAAACGGTTTCTGAAATGCCTGTCTGTCTGTGTGTAATTAACCCCCTGGGGAGGCCTTAATTGCCAGGACAGCCGTGGTTTCCCAGTAGTACAGTGTTTCTCTTCTGGCTTCATTTCATATCCTTCTTCCAGGAGCCAGTCTGGTGTAAAGGAGCGCAAACTTGGCTCCCTTTGAGAAGCTGTGATTAGTACTTGACCTAGCATCCCTTGCTCCCCTTTGCTCAGTGTCTGTGTGAGCCACTGACAGACCTTTCCTAGATACAACTTTTTAATTACTTTTAATAAACCTGTCTTTGACAGAGATGCTATACCCTGTAAGTACCTGCCAGTATTTATTTAGCAAATTTCATTGTTATCAGTATTTCCACCTCTTTCACTGAAGCTGTTAGGAAAATGAAGTGATACAAGATAGCAGATGTTTGTCACTGTGGTTGTGTGTAGTGCCAGTGCTAGTCTCCCGACCACCACTTGTGATGGCATAGAGTTGTTCTTCTGGAGTTGTCTGTCCCTGTCTGTACCAGAGGAAACACGAATTATCAGGAAGGACTGGATGTGTATTTTTAAGACTTCCATGCTTAGGAAAGATGAATCTAAGTGACTTCCCTTCTAAGTTGCATGAGAATTCTGTTGCAAAGTAAGCACTGAGGTCAAGGTCAGATGTGCATTTCTTCTTCATTCCTCCTTTAATTGTCTTTAGATGTATGGACCTGTGTCTACATGGATTTTTTAAATGGTACCTCAGGCTGCTGTCACAGGACTTACACTTACCAAATGTATGTATGTTCCAAAGGGAGTGAGGAACCTGTCTAGACCCTGAGCCAAAAGGTGCATGAAGAAGTCAGAAATCGACTCCCCTTTATAATCATTGGGATTTTCTGTTTGCTTCAGTGATATTTTTTAGGTATTGTTTGTTTTTTTGTTTTGGCATTTTGGAACAAGGGGGTAAAAAAATAATTGCTTCTCCCAGGTTTTTCATTGATTGTGGCGTTGTCAATACTTTCTTTTTAAGCTCCCAAGTTGAGGGCTTAATTTTTTTCTGACACATTTATAATTTTACTTCCGGGTCAGACCATGACAATAATGCCTTGCAAAGCTGCAACTTGTATTCAGTGCTTGTTATCAGAAGAATTTTACTGCTGAGGTTTAAATTGGATGTCACTGGATTTTATACAGGTTGGTCTCTTGCTTTAGTGAATTCTTATTAATGGACTGGTTCTGCCTGAAATGGGAGGAAAATGACCACTTGATTACATTACTTTCTCACATGAAGCAAGACAAAAGCATTTGTTCTGTTTCACAGACTTTCTCAAATATTTCATCGTTCGGATGAAGTATTTAAATAACAGTCTGAAGGAGGAAAGGTAATCCTGAGAGCTACCTGCTTGCTTTGCAAGTGAATGAGAATAGTGATGTATTTCCAAGTGGGGTGCAAGTTTCAGATTATTTGGCTTTATTCTGCTTCAATAATGGAATACATCATCCTCTTCTTTCCTTCTTTTACTTCCTCCTTCTTCAGGACATGTGTTGTCTTCTAATAATTTCTACATTAACACTTCACATTCTCTTCTCGTATTATGCTAATTTACTAAAAAGACGAAGCTAGAGGTGGAGAATGTTAGTGGAGTTTGAGCTATGGAAAAAAAACCTTCACAAAAATAGTCTGTCAGGTTTTTTTTCTGCCCTCAGTTTTTGCAGATGCCTCCTAACGCTGGTTGACGGTTTTACAAACTCTAGTGATTTTGCTGTGATTTTATTGAAACAGCTGCAGGAGTGGTAGAGGTCCTATAATAAGCATAAAATTTAAACCATTTCATGCAGGGTCTGCACCCTTGTGTGGTGTCAGCTGATTCTGAGATTTCCTGAACATGAATAGTTCCTAGTCTGCTTTCCAGTGTACATGGGCAACTTGATGGGAGAGGATTGTTGAATCTAGGTTACAGTTCATTAACTTGCACATTCAGCCCAGAAATGGATCTGAGCATGTTTTCTCGCCCTGAGCAGTTTCTAAACACTCTGTTGCAGAGCCTTTGTTACTCATGCTTCCAACACAGAAAGCCTCTGCAAAATGCACCCACCGCTGAGCAGTTCAGCTTGTTGGGAATTGCTGTGTCAAGACCTGTGTTTAGCAAAAGAATGAGCCAGAAGAGTTGCAGGCTTCAGTGTGCAATTCTAGCAACAGTCTTTGAAACTTCATGATTGAAGGGGTGAATTGTCTGTAGTGAGAGGTGACCTCTCCATCCTCTTGATAATGATATATAATAAGTTGGTGCTTTTAAAGTGCTGAGGCTCTTTAGTCTTTCCCTGATGAGCACATGTGGTGTGGGCTCTTCAGACATTTAGCCAGTTTTGAAAATTATATCCAAAACACTAAAATGGCTATTTAAATTTGCCACTGCAGATTCATTTAGAAAATATCTTTTAACATTTATCACAGTAAAAAACCTGTCTATTCAAAGTGTCTCTAAAGAATAAAAGTAGCTGTTAATAAGCATGGTCAGAACTTTAAATCTCTTCAGAAGTGACAAAGCAACTGAAAGCAATAGGTTTAAAAATAGTGTTACAGCAGCCTTAGCCTTTCAAGGTCCAAGTCATGTACCCTAATTGAAGAGGAGGAGAAGTGGGAGCAGAGTATTGGCTTACTGCAGCTAATTTTTAGCCCTCTTAGTGCTATCAGAATGGTAACAGTGGCTCTCAAGTGCCCTGCTTTTGTCACAAATCAGTATACACAAGCTTCATCAATCTTCCTGCTGCGAAGCTCGAGCACAGCACTGAGAAGGATGGCAGTAACAGTGCAAGGGGTCGTAATGAAGACAAATTGCTAAATCTGATGTGAGTGTCAAAATGCATGGGCTGAATGAAACACACTGGTTTCTATTTACTGTAGGTACACTAAGGGTACAATAAACTGTGTTACATGGCATGTATTTGTATGCAGTAATTAGAGGGAAACATGATAATCTGCTGTAATTGGAGCCTTCTAAAAAGAATTCA